ATAGATGTGTATGCATAAGGTGCTGTTGGTGCATCCTCGTAACCGAAATTCGAAAGAGGTTATGATATATTAAAAACAGGATTTCATGCAAACAAGAACCCGGAAACATTTGATTCCATATTAAGTTGAGTTACATGTATCAAATATATGTATTACAATCTGTAATTCCACCAGCTGACTCAAAAACGCTATTGTTTATAACTCATGGTGGGTTAAGCAGTTATCGTGAAGCTATGTATCATGAGATTCCAATGGTGTGTATACTACTAATGATGAACCAATTTGACACCGCCGCTAAAATCGTTGAATGATGAAAACTTGTACAAAGCCATGGTGGAAGTGTTATCAAATAAGAAGTGAGTAATTGGCAATAAATACTTCTTGTTTGCTTCATGTTGAATATGTTACCTCAACTAGTGTTTATTGGTATAGTATTTTAGAATGAGCAAATCAAAATGGGTTCATAACTTAATCTGTTCAGATACAGTAACAGAGCTAGAAAATTATCGGATATCGTCAAAGCTGTACCAATGAATGCTACAGAGACCGCGGCTTTCTGGATTGAACTCGTGATCAAATATGATGCCAGTCATTTGACGTTTCAGCGGAAGCAACTTTCTGTTATAGAGTGTTACTTTATTGGTGTTATTTCATTGATATTTGCCACCATTTGTGTAACTTTAACGTCATTCCATTGGTTAGTGATTCCGTCAATGCGCGGTATTAGGCGTAAGTCAACTGAAATGATAGTTTATAATTTAAATATTTTTTTTCACAAATTACAAGCCATAATAAAATTCGAGACATAAATAGGCGGAATGCAGATATATATGTGGGAGTCGGTGTAACATTTAAATGAAGGGGCTAAGAATCTGACGAGTTTTAGATTATTCTTAAATTTTTTTGTTTGATTTTTGTTTAATAAATAATTAAATAGAGCACATAAACAAGTGTAAATAAATTCACGGGAATCACAACATGTGTGTAAAAGCTGAAAACTAACGCAAAGATTGTACCTTGTAAACGCGTATTCAAGTAATCCTTTAGCGTTGTGGCTCATTTGCATAACATGTCTGGTTGCACGAACGGTGATTACTGTTTGCGATTGCAATTATGAATTAGATATTTTGGGGCCAGCACTCTATTAACAATCTAAGAAATGCGGTGGTCGTTTCGCTATAAGTGACAAAAATGTGTATGTGGCTGTGTATCATACACGCGTTCTACCCGACATCTAAATTAATAAATTGTTCAAAAAAATATTTTGTAAAATCACCGATATCTTGATTCAGCGTATCTAGAAAAAGGCAGGGATGATGGCAGGAGGCCAATATTTTTGCATTAACCAATCTGATTGCCGAGCTTAATATCACATAATAAAATAGTGATAATTATATTATACCAGTATATTGATGGTGTTAATCCATTGATTTGATTGGTCCAAACACAAAATTTGCATATGCAATCCATGGTATATTGGCTGATAATGCATGGCTAAACCAAGTGACCCTGGAACATGAATTGGCTACGGGTTTAATACGGAAATACATAAAACCGGTATTATTTGATTTTTAGGGAAATATAGTGATTGAATTTTGATTGTCGTTCGTCACACAAACCTAAACCACCGTCCCTCAACACTGTGAGGTGCCTAAACGAACGCCAGAACGCTGTGTTCTCCGTATTGTGACTTTGAGATGAATTGCGAACCTCCAACAAAGAAAACACGATCTTTAAGTACTAGATAAGATTGAAGGATCATTGAAGGACAAAAAAAATGCAAAAAAAACTACGAGTCACAGGCAAAAATGTATGCCACCAAATACAACCAGTGTCCAGTAGCGGTGTTCGACAAAATTGCAGTGAAATTGCACCCGGGTAATTGCTATCTGTTTCAAAAGACAGGAGACAACGCAGGATTCGACGACGATATATGGTATTGTAATTCTCCACTATGGGTAAATAAATTACAAGAGATGATGAAGGTAATTTCAAAAGCTGCAGATTTGTGCCGAGTGTACACCAACCACTGCATTAGAGCGACGGCGTGTAATGTCTTTCTTTCGGCCGGAGTTGAGACAAGGCATATCATGTACGTGTCACAAAAACGATGCGAGAATCCGATCTTACACCATCAAACTTACCCCAGAACAGCGACAAAACTTGTCAGTCATACTGTCACAAAACTTTGGTTAAACCAAAGGTATCCAGGTCAGATGTTGGAACTGAGGTCGTGTGTCGGTCGCCGTACATGATACACCGCGTCCCGCAGCGTCTCAAATTTTGGTCGAACCATGGAACTATAAAGGGGTTTATAGTTCCATGGTCGAACCAAGTAACGCTGAACGTCAAATATCCACAGTTGCAAG